TCACAAGAATCAGATGGCCTACTTAAGGTGTAGGGCTAGTTAGCTAGTCAAGAAAAATGATCATGTATTAGTTTTATTTGGAAAAGTAAAATAGCTATATAGCGTAAATCAGAAGTACTACGCATAATTTATCAATGACGCTTAAATTTATAACTAACGACTTTACATATATAACGTGCAACATTGGCCCTCAGTTGACACCTAGATCAAGTTTAATTCGTTGGACTTTTTGATAACGCCCAAATTCCATTAAATTCCAATTCTAGCCATTAAATTTCTAGCATTGAAATTTATTGACATTCCTTACTTAGAAATAACATAAAAAAGTATAGAAAAATTTATGATATCACCTTTTACTTCCTAAATAAGGATATATAATTATCGAAAAATTTAAAGGAGAAGTAAATGAAAGATTACCTAGAAATATAGATAACTCAGTTTTTAGAGATATATGACCACCAATTTGATTGAACTGCAGTCACAAAGCGACCTGCATAGATAAATATGTATCTACTCGTTAGAAAGAGCACATAAATCACTTGAAATATTAAATTTCAAAGTCCTCAGTTTTCATATAGTAATGTTAGTATATTCTGTTATATAGAGCATGCAATTTAATTTTTAAGCATAGACATTAGGATAATACGATGTCCACATGATGAGATTAAGTCGAATAAAAGCTTAATTTCTGTAATTATAGTATCTCACGACTATTCAATCTAATCTAGTCTAATTCTCACAAAATAGTCATCTCAGGCAGCTACAGCTTAGAAAATGGATTTTATTACAGAGTCAAGAATAGTAGAGCAATAATTAATCAGAACAAGAATCTAATCTAAAGCATTCTGAGCTTGAATTAAATGAAATCTCGTATAAGTTCATTTCAACAGAATTTAATAAATATAATTCGTTTTAATCTATTTATTATAGATATCTGCTGATAGAAAGAATTGAATCATCAAGCTGAAGACTTTTCCACGAACTGATCACTGTCACATATTGGCTAACTACCTTATAGATCTGTGTTATGATAAATGTGCCGTTATGTAAATACATCTCATGTGTTATTGTTATTCTGATCTTATTGATATTATTGTAGGCATTAAGATACATCTATATATGTACTTGTTAGTTGTTTTTATGAATAGTATTAATTCTGTCCCTCGCGTAATCCCAAAGATCTAACCTGTTTGCGCTATACTATTTACCTGTCAACAGGCTCAGAGATCGCTATATAAATGAGCGCATCTCTTGCTAACGGTAGTATTATACCTCGTCTCTCTCTTGTTATCCTCTCTGTCTTTCTTTAATAAACATAGTTTTCTTGACTGTGAGTCGTACGTCTCTGCATACAACAGAATATATTACATCACCACTATGTTTTACGGAACTAATCAATCTGCTTAAAGTTTTGGTACTCTTCTATTAATTAATATATAGCACCGTATGGTGCTATGCATCTTAACTATTACAGTATACCTAGTATAATAATTGATTCTCGAAGGGAAATGCGTAAGTAGCCAATAATTGTTGTATCGCATGACGAGGACCGGGGTACCAGTACTAATTCCCTTAGCAAAATTATAACATTATCTAGTATTAGCATAGCGACAATATTTATTCTTAGAAACCAAACTACGTCATATTCAGCTATCGTAGCAGTAAAATATGGAATACGTCACTATCGTTTCGGAGTTTCAATTTCTGGAATGTTAACAGTTTGATATGTGCGATCAGTCAAATCCTAAAACCTCGATAGAAGCTTTAAACCCAATAATTGGCTTTGAACCTACATTAGAGAGCTTTAAACTGATGAATACACGTAATATGCTCTAAAGATAGCGCTGTATTACCAAACATGATCGGCTTAAAACTTAATTTTCAGTACCAGTAGGTATTTTATGTTAAGTATTATTTACCTTACTACAACTTCTGCAGTATTTAGAATTGTCAACCTTTTATCTTTACTATTGTAAGAAGATTATATAACATTCACGAGCTGTAAAGCCAAGCGACCGGGTAAATAATAATCAATCTCTTCTTGATATCTTAGAAATTAATGGTAATTGCTAAGGACAATTATTAAATTGAAATTGGATGATCTAGATCAATGTTCAATTAGCCAAAATAATCCTTAGCCTCAAAAATCGATTTAAAATCTATTGTAGTATGTAGGTTCTTAACCCTTTACTTTATTAAGATATATTGTTCTACACTACACACTATCACTGTATTCTGTAACACAACTACTTTAATTAGCTGCAATCATTACAACCTTCCTTCAAATTCATCAACTTAATTACTGCATGCCCTTGTTAAAATCAAGGTAAAATTTTTTATTTACTTAATGAGAAGGTTTTATAGTTCAGCTAGGTATTATTACCATCATAAAATGTGCCTAACAGTGTATAAATAATGACGCAAAAATTAATTAGGTTAGTCGAGCAGAATAAATATTTAAGAATTGCATAATTGCATTTAGTAATTCTAGTAATTATTCAGAATTAGATGGAAAGAAAACCGAAAGTATACCAATATTCATTTGTTTGCTGCTGAAATATCACCTATCTCATTTAAATTTATATCAAGCTTGTAAATAAGCTAATGGAGGAGAAAATTTACTGAGTTTGAAATCTTTCAGCTATGTTTTACGAGTCCAAATGTTCATCAAAGTGACAGAAGTTTGTACGGTACCCAATACTTCAAGTTATGCACTGGAACACCTACAGCGATATCATTTGTTAGCATCAGATTTGCTATACAAATCTGAGATATCAAGTATATAAGTTGATTACTGTAATGTACTTACGTCCGTCAGTTTACACTACAGCCAATTTATGAACAGTAATTCCAATATGACATTTGAAAGCTAACCAAAACAGCCAATTGACGGCTAAATACGGAGATGGGAAACTCATTTTTTCTAAATACTACCACGAAGCAGCCTTTGTGAATCAATCAAAAGTTTACTATCTACTCCGTGTTGATCTTTGTTTAATCCTCCAGACCTGCATTAGAATAAATTAACTTATTATAGTATTTACTATAAGTAAGAGATAAATGATAACGTTTATAGTTAAAGTCTTTATTGAACCAAATTATGAATTAGGATAGTGTACTCTACTACAGCATAATTGAAACTCCTTCTAAAAGAACAATATCAATACCTTTATTTAGCTCTATGACTTTACACTGTTCATACAGATGCAAGGACTTATTCTCTGGATAGAACTTAACTACCATAACCCATAAATCTCGCAACTCTTATAACATATTAATATTAACAGCGTATTTACGCTGATTTAATTAAACCAGCAAATGCAAACTAGCACCAAACCACATTGAATACAGCAGTTTCCTCCCACTTTGTATCTCATAAATTCTGTATTAAATGATCTGAATACATGTAAGAAATGACGAAAATTTCAGTCCGAAATATGCTTTATACTGCATCTAACCAAATAGATGCGCTCTCATCGTCATGAATAGTTTCCCCAATTTAGTGAATAACTTATTGAAAAGACTGTCTGTCGGCCTGCTCGACTGATTATAGTTTATTGATCTATTAACAATGTAAAATAACGCACTTTCGGATACATTCAAAGATCTCTAGGAATCAGCAAAATGTACAAGAGATCTGGTACAGAATAGCCAATGGGCGTGGCTAAGATGTCAATCAGCCAGCTAAATAATGATAATTAATTAATTATATTATAAATACTGCACGTAAATTATGTAACGATTATCGAAACTATTTTCGTTAAATTTTTAGATGATAGTGGGCTTTTCGCAGATTAGCCATCTATTTCGTACTAATGATTTAAACTGGATGCTAAGCTGAAGGTAGATAGCCACAATCCCAATATCAAAAGGTATCAGATATCTTATATTTAAGATACAATATTATCATATTCTCTTAAAAATTTTATTTGCAGTATATTTATAACAATTTTGGTAATTATATTCATATTTTTCGCTATCAAAATCAGCTTCATTTCATGTAAATGCCGAGCTTAAATAAACTATTTATATTCTTTCCTTTGATATTTATATCGGTACATAGTGCTGTTGTAGAATAAAATCGATATATTATGCAACATTAAATTTATTGATTTACCTTAATACGATATTTTGAAGGTTAATGTAGGAATAATTATTCATTCAAAGATATGAGTCATATACTAAATCTATATCTATCATTGCTTCAGGGAGAAAGTAAAAAAGATCATTTGTGGGATAAAGATTTTTAAACAAAAAATGGGGAGATATCCTGCTATATTTAATTGTAGCACAGCAAATACTACAGTATTTAAGCCGAGAAAAAATTGATTATAATATTAAAATAGCGCCATGCAGAAAATACAAAAACGGCTACTTCAATATAACCCACATGATAAAATCAGATGAAGACATTACTATAGTTAGCAACAATTACTTAGCTAATGACCTTGTCTAATAAATGGAGCAAATCAATTTAATTGTATCTCATTGCCTTTCTTTCTATATAAGAGTCTTTCTCCAATTTAGTCTTTATCTGCACCTAAAAAATTTAATTACCAATATAAGATTAGTAGACTTGCATCGTAATTCCATTTGCACTAATGAGCTGGCAATAGAGTCTTATCAATAGCTTGCAATTAAAGTTCTAATACTGTTCACCTCAATTCTTCTATCTATATTTTCTATAAATAAAGAATAAGTATGTGTATAGCAGGTAATTCATGTCAATCTTAATATCTATTAACTTTAAGAATTTATAAATGAGATTATGTGATAGTTAGAACTAACATTTACGAATGAATTGCAAGTACTAATGCTACGTCAAATTACCCATAATTTATCTCTTATTGTCCTATTTTGAATTAATTCTAGCACAGCTAAACCGCAATAGAACACTTTTTACTGGCTTTCAATAATTTTCAAGCTATAACTTGCTAACTTATTTTAGCTCTTGCCCCGTGAATCATACTTTGGCTTATTTGGTACTTACTTGAATCATCATGCTAAGTGATTCAATCGTTGAAATCTTACGCCATTACGCTCAGGAGTTTAAAGCCACCATTCCTATTTCAGACATTTTAATTGCTCTCAAAATACACGGAGTTTTAGGATATGGTGATATAAACCGAATCAAGGAATTATCTGTGCTAGATGAAATGAATGATTATTTTCTTGGGATCATCTTTGATAAATTCAGAGATCAAGAGTTTTATATACTATGTGATATCTTAAAGCAGCACAATATTAAAAGTGTGCAATTGTTTGGATTTCAGTTAGAAAGAGACGCTAAAGGTAATAATTATATCGCAGCTACCATGTTTCTTGTTTTATAAACTCGAGCTATAATACTATTTATAGTTAGGCAAAATCTTATCATTTTTAATCTTTACTTTAAAATCTACAAGTAATTGATATCTGTAATTACTAGAATAGATTAATTTGCAGAAGATATTATTGCGCTAATAAAATAACGAGCCTTTACAGACTATCGTAGATCAGATCCATATAATCGTAGAATTGCAGATATAGTTTATAGAAAACTTAATTATTAGGCCTATATTTAATTGAAGAGAAATCTCAAAGGAAAAGTGTCAATAACATAGAAGATCCAGTATCCCCAAAATCGGATACTATTCAAGCCGGTGAGTACGATATTATATAAATAGATAATCGACCACAATTCTATGTTAAATGATGGCTATTAGTAATCAATAATTAAATTTTAAACTTAATTACATTATCTGTTTAACCTATAAGAGCAAGCGATTTACTGCTAAGCTTTCTAAAAAGTAAAGAAACGATATAAATGATATTTCTTCATTTGGAATCTATATTAAACAGAAGACATTGACAAGTATGGAAAGAACGTAAGCGTCACCATTGAAACCGTCGCAAACACTCTAACTGATAATGAGTACCTAGCCCTCGGTAAGAAATTACGCTAATGGTACAATTCACAAAATACAGTAGAGCTTAACATTATCTATGAGTATATGTTACGATGCGTAAGCTCGTCCAAATTATTCTTTAGAAGGATAGTTTTATTTTATGTGCGCTAAGAGTTTCTGACGAGACTATAAAAGGCTGGTGCCTGAAGACCCCTTTTTAGTTAGTTAGTCGATTAGATAGTCAACTAGTTTATCAATTGCTATTGAATTGTAAAGACTATTATCTTGGGTGCCAAGATTTCTTCTGTAATAAATAGTAGAAAACCTCTGACTACCTCATCTACACTATCCGTGACGCCATAATTATACTATAGTATTCGGTCATTGGAACTGAATTATTTGGTGATATAGCTAATCTCACCTCTTTAAGTCAGTAAGTGGCGTTCTCCGTAAGGATTGGTGTGTGTAGACTACTTTATCACTAGTGATGTGTGACAGTATAATATAAGCAATCCATTTAGTGCAATACAACGAATAATTTTTAATTCCTTATAATCTCAAAGGGAGGTTGCTAGAACAGAATTCAGCTCGAATTTAACTAGTTTTAGTAAATTGCCACAATAGATATCTGTTACATTATTACCAACCAGTAAATTAAAATCAACTACTTAATTGGAATGAATCTGCTAGTAAATCAAATATTAATATGAATATTAGTATTTTATTGGCTTAAAGTTATTTCCACTCTAGCTTGTTACAATCGTAACTATAACATAGTGATGAACAAACTTTATTAAATTATAACATATTAATTTTATTACGTAGATGCTAAAGCAGCTTCTATTCTTACTACAAATTCTTTACTGTCTAAAATTGTCCGTCGATTACATCACAATCTTAATGGTGAGATTATTCAAAATCAAGAATATTGGAAATGTATCAACGATCTTTACTCTTTGACCCCTTTTCAAGATCATGAAATAGAGTCCATACTCTATTTTATTGTGAACCTTTGTGACTTCCAAAAAATACTAGATACCAAATGGCTCTATCCATTAGCTAGAACCGCTCGAATTTTAATATTCAAATCATATTCAAATTTAAAAACTAATAGAATCAATTTCCACAGACTGTCATTGTATATACATACGGTATTAATTCGATCGCAATCAATTCGTCATTTTCGTAGCATTCCACAGAAAATCTTACCCCTTGAATTACTGATTACTGAGTTAAACATCATCGACTACCAACTCCGTAACATAAGCAATGAAAAGCTTTATCAAACCGAATTTGAGCCGTTTATTTCGTTTTATTGTCCTCAAAATCCAAATAAACCATCTCAAATGGACCGAAAGACTTCAAAGATACAATATCAGATGTGGACATTATATGAACAACTCGATGAACAGAAGGAACATTACGCTGAACTGACTTATTTGATCATTGATACATTATCCACTATGATCAAAAGTAGCAAAAATTCTTCAATTCAGAAGCAATGTTACTTATCTATTACCGTTGTGGATGAAAAAATACAATCAGCAGATCACGAATATGGGATGCAGGATTATTTTTTTCAGCTCATCGATGAAGATATCAACAGTAATTGTATCCAAATACTACTAGCTAAATATATCATTGATGGGATTGATATTTTAGAATCCAAAACTACATTACTGCCATCATTGTACGATTGCATAGCCTCTGATTTACGTCACATTCGGTCTATAAATATTTGTATGCCTTATATTGACGACATGCTGAAGGATCTTAGTTACAGCAGCACAGTCACGACGACATCGGCAAATCACATCATGGAGTTATCTGGCCTTTATTTTACAGCGCTGGCAAATATGGGTAATATTCCATCGGTATTGAATGCTAGCGAAAAAATTGTCACTAGCCATCTGCAGAAGCATCTTCTAACAACCGAAATGAGTGTTAACCACTCTTCCAATGTGCAACCACCTCTGGTGGTGTTATTGCCGTCTCCAAATATGGAATTTGTTGGACGACAAGATTTACTTCAATTGATGAAACAGAATCTCGACGTTAACAACAATTGCTCAGTTTCAATGGTCAGCTTAGTCGGATTTGGAGGAGCAGGTAAAAGTACATTAGCTTTGCAATACGCACATAATCATATTAAATCACGAAGCTACGATGTTATTGCATGGATACGTGCGGAAACATTAGTTTCTCTACAATACGGACTAGTTTCATTAGCAATACAAATGTCTCAACATTTGTCTCATACCAGTAGTACATGTCCGGCATTACATACTCTAACATCTATATTAGCTAAATTTCAAGCTGATTCACCAATCAAGTCTAGTAGTTGTCGGAGTGCTATACTAAAAATTAATGCTTCTACCCAAGAAATTGAAAGTGTAGTATCTAATGCTATAAAAATTCTGGAGACCTTCCACAATCTGAAGTATTTACTAGTATTTGATAATGCTGAAAATAAAGAACTGGTATCCGAATATTTTCCACTCTATGGTAATGGCCATATTATAGTTACTTCCCGTAATCTTAGTTGGCAACATCAAATTGATGTTTCTTTATTCGATCGCGCATTATCTATTGAATATCTGACATCGGCATTATCGTCAAAGATCCAAGATTTGACAAATAATGCAGGCTTAAATGCATTAGCTGATGAATTAGGTGATTTACCGTTAGCCTTATCTCAAGCAGCCAATTACATGAAGCAAAACAGAATTGTTATTGATAAATTCGTTAAAAAGTTGGTCACTCAAAAAATTGCAGCTCTGCAAGTGTCAGCCTCAGCACTAAACGATTATACCCAATACAGCCAGAAACAATTTATGAATAATGGTAGTCAACACCAGTTAGCTATTAATTATCAAGAAAATCAGGAGCAAATGACTGTTTATATGCATAGACGATCTGTTTCTACAACTTGGAGTATGCACATGGATATTATTAAACGCGAAGATAAAACTGCTCTACTCTTAATGCAAATTATGGCTTATTTGTCCCCTAATGATATCCATTTAGCGCTTTTAAGAGAAATTCTACAAACTTTCGCTGAAGATACGGATGATTACAAGAAAGAAATGCAAAACATTGATTCTTCTTTAATATTGTTAATTAATTATTCTCTAATTAATGGTCACAATGATACTTACTCTTTACATCGACTCTTACAGTGTGTTATCAGACACAATAATCAACAATATAATCTTGATGTTACTATCTTACAACATTTATTCAACTACTTAGATCATCGCTTGACAGTAGTAAATCGTGGTATGGATGGATGGTATTCAGGTGCAGATGTCATTACTCATGCAGAACTATGCTATCAGCATGCAGCTCATAGGGATTCATTTTTTCCAATGAGAATCAAAATACTGAGACATCTATGTTATTTCCATGTGAGTACTAAAAATTATCGTAAAGCTAAAGTGTATGTAGAAGAAGCAATGCAGCTAATGGATACTAAGGAAGTTCAAATTAATGAAAAAATAAGCAAAGAAAACTCTGATCCGTATCTCGTTGACTATTATCACGATAAAGCCTTAATTTATTTTTGTTCCGGTAAAATCGATGTATTTCCAATAAGAAATACTACAGCGAGGCAACGTTTATCAATAGCTTTAGATTTATTATTAAAATACCCATCTAACCCAATTGATTTAGCTGAAGTATACATAGCGCTCGCGTCAACAATAAGTGAAAATAAGAAAAATTATCAAAATTTGCATCAATATCTAGCGCTAGCAAAAGAAATATTAGATTCTCATCCGATACCTCAAGATGTACATTGTCGATACTACAACCATACTGGACTATTACACTACTATGAAAATAATTATGATATAGCAATTAAGAATTGGCAATTAGCAGTTAAAACCAAGTCTGATTTGGTAGGAAATTGTCATTTAAGTATAGGTTTATATTACAGTAATTTAGGCCACGCATACTCCGGTTTACAAGACTATGCAAGCAGTTTAAGATATTTCGAGAAAGCATTAGAAATGAAATTAAATTACTCACAATTAAAGTGCTTACGTATATAAGAAATTATATCCAGCTTATGAACATTACTAAATCCTCTATTATCTATAATGAGACAATGGGGAATAGACTTAATTTGCACAAGGAAGACAAGAAATGAATTACCATCTGTTTTTCTAACATGTAGCTCTACTTCCTAATATATAAAATTAGTGGCTCAAGCTAAGCCAAATATTGCAATACTTATTATATTCATTTTTTGTATGAATATCCATAGGCCTATGTAAGACGGTGTAATATTTTATTCTAAGTTGATGATATATTTAGTAATGTCTACTGTAGTTATAGTATTTAAGGTGTGATAGATATTCTGTTAGATGCTTAAGTTTTAAATATAGCTAGCTTAGTAACTGCATCCTTTTGAAGAGTAGTGCTACAGTGCTCAGCCTAGAGCTTCACATGAAAGATGTAAACTATCCTGTATTTAAGATTCTAATACTGAAGTGTGTAGTCAGTAAGGTGCTAAGATTCTTAACGCGGAAATATGTATAAGCGGGTAGTTTAGTAAAATAGTTCTTTTTCGTTAGAGGTCCTTAGCTTATCGATTACGTAGTATCTTTGTAAACGAGGTTTTGTTCAATAAATCATAATTTTCTAAAGTCTTGGACATTCTTTATCTATCAACCTCACAGCCTATTATGATAGAAGCTGATTTATAGTTTTGCCTGTAAGGTTGCTTAGTGTATTGCTTACCTATTTTAAGTTGGCCTGGGTAAATATTCTGTCTTTATATATGCTTACCAGTGCATAGTATCTACAAATTAATGATAATTACAAATTTATGGTCATACCAAATGACTTATAATTATCGCATAGGCCGCTATATTAATTTATGGCATGGTCGTGCGATGACAGAATAATATTTAAACATCAAATAAACTTTCTGATATTAAGAATTTCACTGCAGTATTTGAATCTATGCTGTTCCATACCTTAAAAATCTGGAAAATAAAATTAATTCGAAAGAAGACATCTGGTAGATAGCAGATCGAGTCGGTGTGTAACCTGGGCATATCACTTTTTATATAATAAATTTTTTATCAGATTTTGACCGTAGAGAATCTCATACATCGCGAAACGTTTTCATTATCGATTTTAAAACTCACAGTATCAAATTATAGATTGAAATGATACTCTATGGGCTCAAAAATGATCTGATTTATAGTTCATTAAATTCGCAGGTATAATCATTTGCCTTCTGAATTCTTCCTTTCCCTTAACTAAATACTATAGATATACTAGTAAGTATTGTCGATATATCGAAAAATGAAATTTTAACAGCGACTTGGCTAACGTATATTAGTACCTTATTATGCCAGTTGAAACCTTTTTATCTACCTATCTGGTTGCAAGAGGTTAAAATTTTTACACGATGATAAGATCTTCCATCCTTTTCGGTATTTCTTTTCGATTGGTCAGATACGTTTATTATTATTAAACTGTATCAAAAATTATCCTATCTTGTATCATCCTAATCGAATAGTTTAGTTAGCATGCATTCCCTCCATATATTCTTATTTCCTACTTTATACTACATTTATGATATTTTTTATCATCGCCTCTTCAATTCAAGATCACCTTTATATACCGAATACTGCCCAATTTGATACTTGCAAAATTTTTTAAATGCGTATTAATATACACACACTCTTTAGCAGCGTTGCACGTATTCCAATAAATATAAAGGTATCACTCTTAATTATTTTTCTCTATATATAATTAATTACTGCAGTATCCTGCTTATATTGAAGTAAAAAAAATTAAATCATGGCAAATGCCAGTGGACTCTCGGGTGCTCCATTACCAAACAGGAAATCATCTGCAAGCGAAACAACTACCGATGAAGAAGAAAGTGGTTCAAGTGTACTTTCAGAAAATAGCAGCTCTAAGCCGTATGCAATAAGAAGATAATTCATGAATTTTCAACTTGCTTCACGGTTTTTGTACCATACTTTATTTCTAAGAGGGACTAAATTATTTTAAAATTAAAAGTACTTGCTTAAATCGTTCTATGTCTTAGAATGCCAAGTTTTTCCTTGATTGAATATGATACGATTTCCGAATTCTATAGTCATCGACAGAAAGCAGCCTATCTGCTGGTATCAAAATCAACTAACTACTCTTATTTCTTGGCAATAAGTTACTAAGTAGTGAAGCAATGCGATATAAAGCTATTTCAAGCTAAGATTAGTTTTAAGAATCAAAATTAATAAATTATAATCAATAGATGAAGCTTTCTGTATCTAGGTAATTATTCAGATAGCTCGTCGATTGCCTAAGCAATTCATGAAGAGTTTTAGTAAGCTTTTTATGACAAAAGTAAAATTTGAAGGAAATGATCGTCAATCATCCTTATAGAAGTATCTTTATTTCAAATTACTGTGTAGGATCAGTTATCAGACCTAGATATGCCTATAATATTTTAGGATTAAAGTAAGATATCCCAACAAAGAGTGAAAAAATACCAATATAGTTTTAGCTTGATTCAAGTTCATTTTTTTTATAGTTGTCGTTGTGCCGTGCAGTTAGATTTGAAACATGACTGTTTACTTTCCGTGATTATTTACTTCTGTCCCCATCATAATCCACAATTTTAAAGATAAATTTCGGATCAGCACGCGTTAATTGAATAACTTAAACTTTTTAAAAATTTCATACCTAAATTCTTCACCTAAAATCTGGTGAAAACTTAATAAACCAGCTCAATATTGATGCAAATTTGAGTAATAATTCATTAGTAAGTCAAACATTACTATAAAGTCATGAACACAATTAACTAAACTGAATCTATGTAAAAAAAACCTTGTTTTCAATAACTTAAATTATCTTCCACTTTAGAGGACCTATGGTTTGGTCAAGCACTCATAATTCGTATCTACTACGTGAAATCTTTGCTAATAAACCGTGGATACATCGTTTTCAATCTGTTGATAGAGGCGCTGTCTGGCGAAAAATTGCTGAGAATTTAAACGCATGCCAATCAACAATATTCCGCGTTGATCATAGGAGTGTTCGCGACCATTATAATGTCTTAAAAAATAAATACCACAAAAAGCAAAGGGATAAAACCTGGTCAGGTGGAATTGGGTTAGAAGAAATGGATGATGAGAGATTACTAGCTGAAACTATAGACAGATTTGCGGAGTACGACTGGCAACACCGTAAGAAACAACGAGCAGCATTGCAGGATAAACAAAAGAAATCACAGCGCACATTGATGGAGAACCTTAGTAAAACATTTAACAGCCGAGACCGTTTGGAAAATGATGGGGATGAGCCTGCATCTCCTAGTAAAATCGCAATCATGGATACCAGCATTTGCCTTATAACAGAAAAAAGTGATCGGGATCGACAACTAAAACTGAAAGAGATGACACTTTTATCTGACTTATATAAAAACTTGATGGAGAAAATACAGGAAAACTTTAAAGAACAAAGGCACACTCAAGAAAAATATCTGGAGGTTATAGAGGAGAGTCAAAGGCAAACAAAGACATTAATTAGTAATCAACTTGAAATGATACGGGTGCTAGCTAACATACTAGAAATGCAACAGGAAAAGTATCAGTAATTACTAGAAAGAAATTACCATAAAGCATGAATTAATAATATCAAAACTACAGTAGTAACAAATTTCAAACTGCCCATCTGAGAAAATCATTTAACTCAAGCCTTATTTGCACTATTTATATCGTAATAAGGACATTCCGAAAGATATCTTGTTTATAAACTTTAACTGTCGAATAAGCTTTTTTCTGGTAACGTAATAAACATGAAGTAACTAATATTATAAATTATTGTATTAATATTCCTTTCAAGAGTGTTTTATACTGACGTATAGTAATTGAAATAATCATCTGGTAAAGCTTGTCAACATTTATTAAATCCGAACTTGAAGGCTAATTACGCAAAGAATAGTACATTATTTGTGCAATTGATTAATGCAATATGAAATCGACAATACTACGCGTATGTTATGAAAATAAAACCAGAGCAAGTAAATTTACGTTTCTGTTTTCCAATTGGTTAAAAAGAAAATGCCAGTAAAAACGTAGTTATCAAGTAGAAATAATGAATGGAGCTAGGTTTTTGTCGATAATGCTTCCGTGTGTAGAACGAGCAGGCAATTTTGCAGCCATTTATAAGAGAACTTATCATACTACAACAAGCTATCGGCTTATAATCTATATTTAATTAATAACTCTTTACGCTATTTTAAAAAGTAATATCCAATAAAACCTTACTTATTATTCGTTAAAAGTGTTTCTATTTGAATCACTATATTATATTGGCAGTGGCAAACAGTTACTTTTAAGCACACTTCTGTAAATGTGTGATTTATAAAGACCAAGGGCAAATGCGAATTGATTTTTTATCACTGATTAATTGCAATTTAAATGCAGTCCTTTGATAATTTCACGTTTCATATTTTAAGGTACGGTATCATGAAGGTCAATCACAAGAGTATGTAATTATATATTATATTTTCGGAATTTACAATAGAACTAATAATTTGGCAATCAATCCTTTTCTGCTACTAAAATAAGACAATTTTTCAAGTTAAACAATTGCAACTCTGCAAACGTTTTAATGATGTAATAATGGAACAATAATTTTAAAGGAGAAAACTTCGTAACATTACAGTAAAATAAATCTTCGGATAACCTAAGCTAGAGAATAGGACATCCAAAGCTTAAATTCTATGATAAGATTATGTAATTCACACAACTTTTTCAACTATATGCTCTCTTCGTCCTACTACTAATTTATATTGAAATCTAATTGCTCTGATATCAGCTAATAGCTAGTATTTATAGGAAATTTGAAAACTTGCTATACTCTGATGATAATACAAAAGTTTTAGTGATAGCATCAGTTATGAGGGATATTTGTTAAAAAACAGCAAAATCCAATTTTTCTCTATAGAATTATAGTAATGTTTAGTTTAACTCACAATGAAAAAAACATTCTCATGACTATGGGATTGACTTAGCAAATACAAACGATATTACTTAAAGAACTCCTATCTTGGGTATAACATTAACTTCCAAAAAGGTTGCCCTTTGAATCTGTACGCATTTAAATCCAAATTAGTTTACTTAAGTACAAAAACTAAAAGTTTTTCTTTATGCTTATTCTTTAATCATAAATTAGATCCTTTGATATGGATGCACGCATTCACTCTTAAGAGAGATTCGTAAAATTTCCTTAGCAATTGTCTCCAATTATTAAAAAAAATTTCTATTTATTTTGCTGCACTTATGTACCAGAATAGATAATAACATAAACAATGAAATTTTTACGGTATTAAACTAGCTAAAAAAGCATTGCAATTCAGATTCAATGCCACAGCTTGCACAGTTACGAAAATGAGTTCTAGGATATGTCATTCAACAGGCTTTTACGCATAAATACTGGTGTAAGAGCATACATCCGGTTACCATATATATAATCCATCTGAACTTGTGATGCAGTCGTCATTTTACTAGTAATAAATATCTCTGCCTAACGATTATTTAAGATATTTAGTTGATGCTATCGGTTGAAATCATTATTTCTTTAATATACAATAGCACAAAAATCACTAGTTCAAATATGAATAAGATCATTATAATTAAGATTGCGTCACATAACATTAATAAATTTTGCCTTTAGCTATAATTATTATTATTATAAATACTAAAGTTGCAGTTGAATATATGAAATGCGATCTCAATTTACTACTTATCACAATAGTGAATAAATATTAAAGCAGCATGATACTATATAGATAATAAATGTCTCTACTCACCGCAAATAAGAAAGATTTTACATTCATCTGCCATTATACCGTATTAAGCTTGGTAAATAGTTTTTCTCTAGAAAGGAATAATTAAACTTCGATATAAATAATAGTTAAACAATTTCCAGTCCTATTATAAATGTTTATTATCTTGAATAGGCAAGTATCACAAAACAGCTTTGCAACAAGATAACGCAATATACGATCAATAAGTCAATTCCTTGAACCACGTATCAAGGAACGATATCTGCACTATCACAAACACTTTTGCTCTACTAGCAGACTACACAAAGACTTAAACGCCTCGTATTTTACGTTAAACACTAAGTTGGAGAAATTCTTCTTTATTTCACGATATACTGCATTTATATACTATTCCTCAATAGTTCATGAGTCATAGTTAATACAATTAACATTAGAATCATATACTGAATTAGATATTAATTTTAGCTACTGCTCCCTTAATGCAGACAACAGTATTTACGAACATAGACATGTAATGACTAATACAGAATAGTCAGATTAGGATATGTCCTATCACGGAACATTTCCATGATAATTTACAGTCTACCATAAGTAAATTACAATCACAATGATTCGAACTGTAAGCAGATGATTTGCATTCCCTATTATAACTATTAATTTCAGTATATGTATAAGTGTCACTGTCATAAAAAGTCAGTGCTATGTTAAAACACAGTATATCCGAATTAGAAGTTAACTAAATAAGGATAGTCTAACAGAATTATCCTAACATAGTTATTTTTACTGTAATATAGTATTTAACACTGTAACAGCAAGCCTAATTCTGTAAATATTCATCTTCAAATGTGATATTAAACTTATCGTACTGAAATAATGATACATTCTCATTCATTTAATCGCAATCCATCCCAGAAGTTAATATCGAATAAATCGTTAGTAATATAATATCATTTATTTGCTTAAGAAGATGCTTAAGTCCATTTTACTGTGTACCACTACTGCAGACTTGGAAAACTTCGCATTATAGATAGCAAATAAAACACTCAGTATAAATTTTTGACGATCACCTGATCTATTTCATTAATCGATTGAAGGCGTAAAAACAGCATATTTACTGTAAATGATTTTTTCAGCTGGTTTACAACAATATATGGGAATTAATTGAGTTTAATGATTCAAATTACTTTATCAGATAAAAGTACCTCGATCCCGAACTGATTATGTTCTCTGAGCATAGAAAGACTTATAAAAGCAAAGTAGAAGTTTTACTCACGATTAATCTACCTATATCATCAATTATATTGATATTATCCTCCAAAAGATTGAATCAAAGTAAATTGAAATCTTCTTTTCAAGCAATAATACTAATATCCACAGCTTATCAGGAACACTGTATGTGACTAATTGATTATCATCATACAATTTTACAGCATGCACGCCGTAAAATGTTCTTTGTTAAATTTTATAGATTACCAAATTGGTTGGTATTCTTATAAGTCTATCCTGGTAATGCTAAAGCAAAAAAAAAATGACCTCTAGAATACTCGAGATTCAGTAAATAAAGTATACATTTTAAGTAGAGTCAACTTAGTTCTTTTTCCCCAATAGCTTCTAAATCTAAGATATTACCCTAATGAAATATCTTAAAATTGTTAAATAAATAAATGCGATATTAATAGAGAAGTTAATTTTCAATTATTTTTAAACCGATATAGGCTTCTATTTGCCTATCAAACAAGCATTAATTGCCGTTGAATGCAAAATACATTTCCATTAAAAATTTAGCAAACAAACATAGAAAGAATTTCTAAGCTAACAATAGATGTTATTTGACATCTTTTCGTTGATCTCCGGAAGCATTTAAAAGGCAAATGCAAGACTGGTTATCCGTATGTTTAATTAATCGACGGTAATTTTTACGTTCACTATACATGAAGAATTATCACAATGCGTTAAAATTTTTTGTTTTGTATCATGAATGTCGATCACCGGAAAGCAATGGCACTTTTTCTCCTCCTTTCTTCTTAAATACTAGATGTATTGAAATTTTCAATCAAAAATTAAAAGGAAATAGTACTTAAATATGTTGTCACGAATAATATTTCCTTCAAGGATAAAAAAACTCAATATTTTTAAGCAGCTTATTATTATATTATAAGAATACCTAGCCTGGCATACTTGAAAAAGAAAATAATAAGTCGCTAAAAATCCAATTTTTATAGATAATGCTCAAATACTTAAATTAAGCGCAATATTCTCTCAATAGTAATCACGCTATGGTTGCATTAAAACCCCATTTGAACGGAAATGCAACTTGCAATCTTAAATCTAGATTTCAAAACTATTTATAAAATTGAACCTCTAGAATGAACTAACAAAGAAATTACCCTAATCCTATCATATAATCATATCGATTCGCGAAAGCTATTACTAATTGTCTATTTAATATCTCAAGATTCACAATTTGATAAAACGTTAATTTATTATTAAATGCGATCAAACCATATAGATTGAAAAAGTTGCAAGGTCTTCCACTAGGTAATCAAGTTCAAGAATAGCTTTTATCGTTGGCTTTAAACGATAGATTATAGACTAGTTGATATTAAATAAAACTGTTGAATTCATTGTAATAGTGATTATGATCAGTAGAACAATTATCAGGGAAAAAGATATAATTTAACTTATATCCGTATTTGAGCGCAGCTATCTAAGTAAGTACCATGCGTTATATAATAAAAAAATAGACATATGCGTAATATTAGTAAGTAACTATGAAAATCATTCCCATATTAATTTTTTTGCCAACCATAAATGATGTTTACTGAAATTGCTATTTCATATTTGAAAGGAGAATTCTAATTGGTTAGTAATAAATATTTCACGCAATGTCAATATTTTTAAATAATTTCTCAATTGATGAGTAAAATAAATCCAACATTAAAACTTATATTAATATTTTCAAAACAAAATTGACAATGCTTGCTGAAATAACTTTTGCCAATGATTTTAGGCAGAAATTATTTCAGCAATCATTAATGCTATATACTATACTAGATAGACATGTAGCCAAAGCACTACCAATAAAATTTAACAGTTGGAGAAACTGATTCATAGATTTAGATTCATATTGACGGATAACCTTTATTGCTCCTCTATTCATCTATTTGATGAATCGAAAGCACGCATCTCCGATAATACAAGTTATCTTCAATTTTACGTTATTTCAAATACATTTTCATTACGTATTTATAATAAATTGTTCTAATCTTGAATTAAAGATTCTCAAAGTCAGACAGCTTCAATACATGGTTAGATATCATACTTATTTACTGCTTGTATGTATCCTCTAAGATACTACTCAAAAATTTATTCGTACATCGCTGACGATATACGTAGACGAGTCCTAATATTGATTTATCACGCCTATACTAAAGCTATCTGTCGTAATAATTCAATTACAAACATTTTAACTATACTTTCTCCAGTAGTAGGAACAATAACCATACCTAGACTCTATTTCAAATGCAACTATTAATGATGACAAGTACAGTTCATATCGAGTTTGTTAGTACGAAGCCGAAGTACTCGCCATAATAGTAAACAAATATAATTATGATCTAATAATGATTATACGAGTATAATTGGCTATATAACAGCATTTTTTCCTATACGGGTGTTTGCTGATGGTCAATTAATTGATTGTTATTTCATACTACTTTCCTACCCAATATGAGCCTAAGCTAAAATAAATAATTATAGCGGCTTAGCAAAAGATAACTCATACTACGATCATAGGCAAAATTGTGGTATAAATTCAATTGCTATAATTTACGCATTAAATCTGATTTAGATACCAGATTACTACAATAATTACGAAAGGTACTTAATGATCATTCTTAAATCCATACAACGTAAGATCGATTTAATCTAAGCTTATCATATCTTTCATGGTTCTGTATTTCTGTAACTACAGAAGCAGGCATTAATAATAATCTTACTTCTCGCGTAACTCTCGAATTCGGAACTTAGTGGCTATTAATAACTTTAATATCGGAGGAAATGACAGATAAATTTCATTGATAAAATCTGAATAATTTATAAATTTATACTATAGACTATAGAATATAGTAACAAATTATATATCTCTCAAGATGAAATGGATATAATAATTGATGGAACAAATTTAGTATTTAAAAGCTATACAATTCCGAGAATATCGTAGTTATGACACAAAAGAAAGCGGAATATTTACGAATATTGATAGGATAAAGTATTGTATGATGGTATGTTAGTAAATAAAGTTAAACCGATTTTAAAATTAAAA